GGGATAAATTCAAGGTCATATTTTGGTTCTCCTGGACTTGTTTTCATTTTCTTCAGCATCATTTTGAATTTGCATATCAGTAATTGATGATCTGTTCCACAGTCTGCCCCTGGCCTTGTTTTCACTGATGATATGGAGCTTTTCCATCCTCTCTTTCCACAGATGTAGTCCATTTGATTTCTATGTTTTCCATCTGGCGAGGTCCATGTGTATAGTCTTCTGTTATGCTGTCTAAAGAAGGTATTTGAAATAAACAAATCATTTGTTTTGCAGAAATCTATCATTCGTTCTCCAGCATCATTTCTATCACCAAGGCCATATTTTCCAACTACTGTAATGAACAATACATCTTGATTGCATGTTTGATCGAGTTCAGATTGTAGAAGTTGGTAGAATTCTTCTATTTCATTCTCACTGGCTTTAGTGGTTGGTGCATAAATTTGAATAATAGTGGTGTTTACTGGGCTTCCCTGCAGACGCATGGATATATCCTATCAGTTAGCAGTTCGAGTCCACCAGGTGCTCTACAGGAGAAATATGAGCCCTGGAAACCCTGTACAGGGTTGCTATGAGCCAGAATCGGCTCCACATAACCACCACCAGTCTCCACCAATGTGGCTGTTACGTGATGATGCCCATGATATGATCTGATATGCCCATGATATGATCTGAAACCAATAAAAGGATTAAGGGTGAGCTGCAATATCCCTAATCCCTCCTGTCACAACCCTGAATTTTCCCAAAGGTGTGGCCAGAACATCTTTTACCTTACAATAGATAAAAGGAAAGAGAATTGAGCACAGAAAGAGGGACCCACTACCATTAAGAGAGAGGAGGCAGAAGTGGAGTGAATTGTTTGGACTGGGAGTCTCTGTACTGTGAAGCTCCTAGATCCAGGAAAAGATTGATTCCAAGACACATGGGAATTTCCAAGGAATGCTGGTCCCAAAGATGCTGAAATGCTGAAAGGAGACAAGACCTATCTCCAGAGCCAACTCTCTGAATTTGGAGTTCGAGCTTCCTAAACCGTATGAGTCCTGGTGTGGTGCTGTAGGATAAGCACTAGACAGCAAGGTTGGTTTGAACAACAAGGTTGGTTGTTCAAACTCACCAGCTGCTCCTCGGAAACCCTATACAGGGTCGCTATGAGTCGGACTCAATGGCACTTACCAACAAACAGTGGTGGTGGTTATGTGCCATGGAATCATTCCGAGGCTGTAAATATTTACCGGAGCATAAAGTCTCATCTTTCTCCCACAGAAAGACTGGTACTTTACAAACTGCTGACTTTGAGATTTGTAACCACTACACTACCAGAGCTCCTTAACAAACTAAGAGAATAAATGTGTTTTGTTAAAGGCATCCACACTTGTGGTATTTTTGTTACAGCAGCACTAGATAATGAGGACAATAACTGATCAACAATTGAAAGAAAAAAAAAAAGACTAATGGGCAAAAGTGATTGATACAATTTTGTTACCCAGAGCTGAGGCCCATTAGATCCTGGAGAATGGATCCCCCTGGTGAAGCCAGAGGGGAATCTCAATTCTGAGTTGAGCCTCCCTCTTGGCTGGAAATACCAGCCCCAGGTGCTCCCATCTCTGCCCAGTCTGCAGCCAGTGATTAGGGGCCCTAATGGCCATAATGCCTCTAATGTGGTGTTTAAACCAATAAGGCTTCAGAGAAGTCACGGTATGTTTAATAATGGCTTAATGACTCCTTGTGAGATGCAAGGCTTCTGGTTCCTGTTTGGCCTTGATTTACAGCCCAACTCTGGCTGAGGACAGCCAAGAAACCCCCTCTACGCCCCCAGCGGAAGAGGGAGGTGTTCACACCAGGCCTCTTGGATTCCTTTAAAAATTGAGAATTCAAATGAAATACAAATGATGTTTGACTCCCCCACCCCTTTCACTAGTTCCATAGAGAACTTGGGAAATAAATGTTCTAACCCAGATCCAGGGCCCCTCAAGGGAGTTGGGGGGTGGGGGTGGGGGGCGGAGAGTGAGCAGGGTCCTAGGGCCCTCGGTATTTCTTGTCTTAGATCTTCCGTGGAGTAAGAATTGTTTCTCTGCCCAGAAAAACCTAAGCTAATGTCGTAACCCTTTGCTTTTGGATCCAGAGACTCAATTCAGAGGAGATGCAGTTTTACCCTCTATCTCCTCCAAAGCGACAGCAGCAGAGGGGTGAAGTCTGAACTGCAGATGGCCCCTTTTCCAGTGGATTTACAGATCCATCCAGATGATTTGCCCACTGAAAGGTGTTCACTCCATGCTCAAACAAAAACCAATGCCTCTGCTAACTCCTCCACCTGCTCCAAAGTCTGCCACTGTGGGGACCCTGTCTGGTTTTGAGCGGTCCCTTTCAGTCTCCCTATCGGTCCAAGCTCTTTACTCCAACCCTGTCTCTGCCTCTGAAACCCTTGACGAATATATAGTACTCTTAGGGCTTACTCAATCCAACCCCCACATTCACAGACGAGAAACACTAAGTAGCCAGTTCAAGGTTCCACAGCTAATTAACCACAAAGCCCTCAGAGAGCTCAAGCCCCCCATTCCAGTTCCGAGTTATTTCCACACAACTTGACACTGCTCCCAGTGTCTCCCTGTGAGAAACATGAGCTTTCTAAGGCAAAACTTTTCTGCTAAGAGTAAAGGTTTTCCAGCTCCTCCCTGAGGCTCGCGAAGAGAACTCGGTAAAGTCCCAGCCCAGCCCCTGCCTACCCACTGCGCTCTCATCTTCGGCTGATATCAGGAGACCAGGACTAAAAGTGTTTGTTAAATGACAGTTTTGGGGCTGGGGAGGGCATTTCTGTCTCCCGCAGCGCCTCACCTCTTTAGGGCCAAGAAAGAGCCTTTAGGCAGGGTCTCAAGACCAAGGGTGCTTCTCTGATCTTGGGACTCAGCCGGATGGACAGACAAAAGGGACCGCCGCCTTTCCCCCTCCCCACATCCCCCTCCCCCGTCCTTGAGAGGAGGCGCTTCCTCCACTCTCCGGGGCTGTCTGAGATATGGGGCTTGGGGTGAATCAGGGGGCTCCCGGACTCCGACGGGTTAACCGCGCGGGGCTGCACGTGACGTGGATGGTTCCAGCATTAAGTCAGAGGCGCGGCCCCCTCTCCTGCCCTCCGCCCCCCGCGGCGCGCGCCACTCCCGGGGGCTCCGCGCCCCCGCGCCCAGGTCCCTCCCCCTCGGCGGGCGCGCTCGGGCCGCACGGGCAACGCGAGCGCCCGAGCCCCCGCCGGCCTGTGCGCCCCGAGCCGGCATGGACCCTGAGCGGTGCGCGCCTTTTGGCGTGGGGCCGGGGCCCGGCTCCTACGCAGCCGCAGGGGACGAGCCTACGGGCCCTCAGGGGACCCCGGCCGTTGCGCCTCACCTGCACCCCGCGCCGCCCCGCGGCCCGCGGCTGACCCGTTTTCCGGCCTGCGGACCCCTGGAGCCCTACCTCCCAGAGCCGGCCAAGCCGCCAGCCAAGTACCTGCAGGACCTCGGGCCCGGCCCGGCGCTCAACGGCAGCCACTTCTACGAGGGCTCCGCGGAAGGTAACGCAGGACGAGGGCGCGGGCCCTAGCGCGCAGCTCCGACCCTCTCTGTTTCTTACCGAATTGGGCTGGCCGGGGCCTCCTAGCTTCCTTCGCCCGCTGCTTAGCCTAGTTCTCCACTTTTGCCCTGCTTGCTTCTTTCTGCGAACCGATTTCCTGACTGACCTTGGCCCAGGCAAAGGCCAACACTGTGTGGGAGGCAGAGCCACCCTACCCATGGCAGCGGGGATGGGAGGCGGGAGGTCGAAGGCGGGTGGGGCAGCAACGGCAAGGGGCCCAGTCGGGCAGGAAGGCGACCAGAGCCGGGAAGGAGAGCTTATGCTCGGCGGGAGTTGAACTGGGACTGTCGCCGACAGAACCCAGATGCCTCGGACTTGACCCGGGGCTCCGCATTAAGTCCTTGGCCCTGAAGCGGGGAGAGAAGCGCAGCTTTTGTGTCTGGCGCCTGTTGAGGGCCCTGAGGCTGGGCCCCAACCTAAAGTGACCAAGCTGAGCTCAGCCGGGGACTGCGGCCTGGCTGGCCTCCGCAGGCCTCTCATCCCCGGGCCCAGCCGCCGCGGGAAGGGCACTCGATGGCATTAGGGGCTTGATGGAGTGGCGGCGGCTGACCCGCAGTGCCGGGCCATTCTCCATTCGAAATAATTGTTCCCTTATTTCTCAGACTAACCTGGCCTTTCCGTTGTGATGCACGATGGTGGCCGTCCTTCTCGAAGTCTTGGCATCCTCATACCGCATCGCCACCTCTGGGGCGTTGGGAACAGCCCCGGGCGGGCCTAGTCCCTGGGTGCCTTGGGCTCCTAGTCTGGGACTCTTGAGTGCGGAAGACGGTCAGGCCGCGCCATCTCGAGAACGCGCCTCCAGCCGGTCCGCTGCCTGTCGCCACACGCACCCGCTGACCTGTAGGAGTCATGGCGCCTGTGGCCGCGGCCCATCTTCGCTTCCACATCCCTAAACCTAGGCCCAGAGATGGGTCCTCTGAGAACCACTCCGACCCCCTGTTCGCCCCAGTGGCGCCTCGCCGGCCTCCACCAATGGCCCGGCAGCTCTGGCCTTTGCCCAGCCTGGACGGAGGGAATGTGTCGAGGAGGGCGGGGAGGTGTGTGTGGGTCAGCGAAGGAAATGAGCAAGTCCGTAGAGCTTCGTGCCTGTGCCCTTTGAAAGAGGCTCTCCTGATAAAAACCACAGTTGGGACTTAATGAGAAGCAGTTGGCCTGGCTCCTCTGATCCCAGCCAGACGGCGGCGGCTACGAAGCACCGAGAGCAACGCCGGGACAGGTACCCGGGCTGGCTCCGCGCGCTGTATCGAGTCGTACACCCCAGACCCCCCAGGTCCCCACTGGGCCCCGGATCCCGCACGGACCGCCCGGGCTCCAGGACTCACTAGACGCGGGGCGAACGTCAAAGAGTGCCAGGCGGAACCTGCGGTCCCGTGTAATCCACTAAACTTGACTCCGGTCGGGAGAGCGCTGTCTTTAACGAAATAAAAGGAAAGAAGATTTTAAAAATCTGAATAACAACCAAAAAGGGGGGTAAGGAAATCGAGCAAAACAACTACGAAGAGCGAAGAAAATGAGAGGTAAACGGCGGCTTGCGAGCTGGGCAGACGGAAATTTGTAAATGAAGAACCAAAACAAACCAAAACAAACCAAGAGGAAGATCGAACGAAGCGGGTAAATAGAGCGAGGGAGCAGACAAAACGAAAGAAAACCAGAGAACATTCTAAAAGAGCAGGAAAATAGCCAAATGAGAACAAGTCGGAGAAGAAAACTAAGGATTCAATTTGAGCGGGGGAAGGGGGGCACAGATCGAACGAAAAAGTGGCGCGGCATCTGCCCACCCCACTTGCCTACTTGATGCCCTGGCCAAAGCGCAACGAGCGGGCCTCACGAGACCCCGCGGCGCAGCCGGCTGATCACTGGTGAGGAGGGACAGTCCCGGGGCTTGGGCCGCGCAGACCACTGGGTGGGGGAAATGGTCGGCGAAAGGAGAATCCGCCTGATCTCCCGGCTTTTTTAATAACGAGTTCGGAGCGTTTCCAGTTCAGACCAGTGAGTGCGCAGCTGCGCCCCATCTGCAGCGCGTTCGTTGCCTCCGCCGGGCAGTTGAGCGCGCGAATGTCTGGAGCATGGCCACCATATCTCGCCGGACGTTCGTGCTGCAGCTAGCCTAACTCCGCAAAGACACTCAATTGTCCTCTGGGCCTGGGTCACGTCTTGTCAGTGCCAACTACTCTCGAGACGTCTCGAGACGTTCCAGGCCGCCCCCTTCCAATTTCGGGAAGCCACTTAGAGCTTGTCTCGGAGCTTGGCTTCTCTCCTTCGAAATACACCCCTCCAGGACTTGACTCCTGGTGGAGTTTTGTTCGTGCCACCAAGGAGGCCCTGAGACTGATGGCCATTAAAGGCCAATCTGGAGACCGACCGCGCATCTCCAAAGGGTGGCAAATCCTTGGTCCCGGCTGAAATCCGTACACTAAGGCTGGAACTTATGTTTACTTCCTTGGCTGGCCTTCGACCCCTCTGGCTGGAGCTCTGTTTCAAGACACCCCCCCCCCTCCCCGATCTATCAAGAAAGGACGCGTGCCTGGAGTAAGGTTGCAGGGAATACTGAAGACCTAGCCGTGTGGTTCAGCGGCTTCAATAGGCGCCTGCAGTCAGGACCTGAGGACGGCGCGGCTACCCAGTAAACAGGCTCAAGCTCCTTAGAGTTGTGTTCCTTGGGTCCCACCACCAGTGCCACTCCCAGGCTGCACAGTAGCAGAGGATCAAACGGGGTGCTGCCACCAATAAACTGAACTTCACCAGGAGAAGGCATGATGCAATGCGTGTGAAGTCCGGCATGAGCTTTATTGCTGCCTCAGAGATCCATGTCTTCTCCTGCTGGACATACCTGTACTATTGCATAGTTGTAATGACCTGTGTTCAAGGGGGTGTGCTGTTGGGCAGGCCAGGAGCCCCAGGTTCCCAATTCTTCCTTAACCACCAAGTGTGTGCACCAGGTGCATGTGACTCTTACTACACACAGCCCATATATAACTTGAGTGCACCGTGGGCCCTCCAAAGCAGCTCTTCTCTTAAGCTTAGGTTCAAAGTTGCTAGCTTCAGTACCTGGTCTGCCTTTCCTTGTTTGCTGCCTTCTATTTATCCAGCCTCTATTGGCAGATTGCTTGGTGTTCTCTGAGTCATCCCCCTGTTTCCTGAAATGTGCTGCTCTCCCCTTGGGCTTTTTCAGGAAAATCAAGGTGATTTCAGGGCAGTGGACCAGAGCTAGTATGAGAGGGCGTAGAATGGGCAGGCATGGGAGGCAGGCAGAGGCTAGTAGGTCCCTTTTCTTGGATAAACCTGAGATCTGCTTCGCTTTCATTCCTTGACAGTGAGAATAACAACAGAGCAGCTTAGAGTCAGGAATGTAGGCCCTAGCACCCCCAGTTCTTTTCCCTGTCTATGAGCAGACCCAGAGGGGCCAGAAGGCACATGAACAAGCCATGGGATGTAGGCTTTAGGAGGCATGCCAGTGTTCCCCCACTCCAGCCCTAAGTCACTCACCATACTACTGCCTCGAGTCCAGCTGGGAACCAGGACTTCCCTGTGAACCCAAAACACACAATTCCTTTCATTCATTATGGAGACTTGCTAAGTGCCAGGTGTTCCTTTCCAGTCACCCTAGTTTCCCAGACAGTTTTCAATGATTTGGTCCAATGTCCCTGAACCTCCTTTCCTAACCTCCTACCCCTGTTGGCCAGGAATGAAAGTCAGGGTACAGCATGCTGTCCCCTCTGTCCCCCACCTGAGTTGTGAAGGTGCCTGGTGCCTGGGCTGTCAATGCAGGCTCACTGTACAGGCCAGACAGGCTTGGCCTGACTCTCCAGGCCTCCAGGACACACACACACAGTGTGGAGGTGAGCTCTGAGCCTGGTGGTGCTGGGAAACCACTGACCAGCTTCCAGTGGGTGATGGGAGGAGAGCCCAACTTGCCCTTCACTGTACAAAGAAGAACTTATCAGACTTAGAGGCCAAGAGGCCCATCTCCCTGGTCCTAGGCTTCCTCTGACTTCAGCTGTGACCCCAGGGTAGAAACCACCTCTCTGTGCCAGCTCCTCAGGCCTCCTGGGGGATGGGCTCCTGCTGAGGATGGGCCAGGGGCCAGAAAAAGGGCTGTGTGTGGCGTAGTTCCTGCTATCCCAATGAACTACTGAGGATTTCATGGGGACACCGCTGGGGGTCCTTGCCAGAGGGAGAGGGCGGGGTGATCAGGGTGACCTATTTTTCACCAGGCCCCAGTTGTGGTGGGTCTCTGCCAAGCTTCCTGAGTGCGGTGTTAGCACGTCAGAGTGGGGCTTCTGGGAACAGTTCCCAGTCTACTGTGGGGTCACCCCTGCTTGTTAATCACAAGCTATGGGGGCAGCTGAGGAGGAGGAAAAGGCAAGACAATGAAAATGACTAGGAAAGGTCCTCCAGCTCTCTTCCTCCCATCACTACTTGCTGCTTTTCTCATGCTTGAGCTTGAATCCTGCTGAGACATAACAATTTTAGGAGTGATGGGAAAGATCATCTCTCTGGATGCTTCTTTGTCCTGTCTTGTCCCTTATACCCCAGGGCTATGGGATTTGACATTGATCTGAGATGTGAGACTCAGAGCAGAAGGCGCAGTCAAACCAGCCAAAGGTGGTCTCAGCTTTCCCCATCCCTTTGCTTGCCTGATCTTGGGAGCAGAGGCATGGGTGCTAGGGCATGGGAACCAGAGTCAGGGACACGGAAGTACTTATTGGCAGAGGTGGGAGATGTCAACCACTCCATCCTCAGTCCCTTCTTCCACCCCAATCCTCAGCCCTTCCAGGGTGGCGGTCCCTGCCATGGCGCCAATCCTGGCACCTCCACACCCTGTGGGATGCACCACCACAAAGCAATTCCCCGAAATGAACGCCCCTCAGGCCCCGCAGATCCACCCAGACCACAGAGCACATGGTTCCCTAGGGCCCCCTCCCCAGCTGGAGACTCTGCAGGCAGGCCTCAGAATGCCAGGCTCCCATGGAGGGTGGCTGCTGGGAGGAAAGGAAGGGAGAGGCGGGGATTGAGGCGTCAACGTTCTTCCCCTCCCTCCATTCCACCCACAAAACCCCCTGGTTCTGTTTCCATCCTCCTTTTTGTGTTTTCCATTGCAGCTGAAGAGAAGGCCTCCAAAGCCGCCAGCTTCCCGCAGCTGCCCTTGGACTGCAGAGGAGGCCCCAGAGACGGGCGCTCTAATTTGCAAGGCTCTCCGGGCCCCTGCCTGGCCAGCTTACGTGTCCCTCTGTCCCCTGGACTCCCTGAGTCCATGGAGTTGGCCAAGAACAAGAGCAAGAAGCGCCGTAACCGCACAACCTTCAGTACATTCCAGCTGGAGGAGCTGGAGAAGGTCTTCCAGAAAACCCACTATCCTGATGTGTATGCCCGGGAGCAGCTGGCTCTGCGCACAGACCTGACGGAGGCGCGGGTACAGGTGAGGGCACCACAGGCACCAGGCTCTCTGGCTGCCTTGACCGCCCAGACTGTGGCCTAAACTATGAGAAAGCTGGGAGAGGTGGGCTCTAGCACTTCACAGAGAGAGCTGCCTTAACTCCTGGACTTTCTCTCCATGCCTGGTTCTCCTATAGCCACAGGCTCTTTCAGGCCCAACTGAGGTTTCTGCAGTTGTGGGGAAGAGAGTGTATATGGGTGTAATGGCCGCTTGGATTCAAAAGAACCTGTGTGAAAGTCCCAGCTCTCTCACTTACTAGCTGATCAGGTGACTCTGGGCATGTCATTGAATTTCTCAGCTTCAGTTTCCCAATTTGTTAGGTGCTGTCCAGTTGATTTCAACTGAGCGACCCTGTATAGCGTTTCCAAGGAGAGACTGGTGGGTTTAAACCACGAAGCTTGCAGTTAGCAGCCCAGTGCCTATCCTACAGGACTCCATTAGGAAAAGAAAATGATTGCACCACTACTTAGGGGGCTCCATCTGGATGATGCCTGATGTGACAGCATTTTGGAAGCAGTGAAGTGTTGAATACATATGAAGGCTACCTAGAACAAATGGGCTCCACTAGAGGGTCTCGGGATTGTGACCCTCAAAGTCATCCTGAGCAAGCATCCTTCAGTCCCTGCCACTCCCCAACTGAGACCAGGCTTCAGGGCTTCCTGGATGAGGCCTCCTCCAGCTTCACACTGGGTGGAGTCCAGCCTGTGGGGATGGGAGGGGGTGGGGGTGTTGGGAACAGGGAGGGATAAGGGAAGGGAAGTCCATGTCCAAGATGGATTGAAAGTGAGAGTATTAAAGTGACAAGACATTTTCAGTGTAAGTTGAAGGGTTGGGGTTGAGCTTCTAGGAAAAGGCCAATGACACCAAGGAGGAGGAGTTTCTACCTCTCCCACCACCCAGGGGTCTTCCAAGGGGCAAAGTGCCTGCTTATCACATCTTGCATGGGCTGTTACAAAAACCTTTTTTGAAAGTGATGTAGGGCATATTCTACTCTGGTAGAATATGGAGAACTGGTAGACCCAGTCAGCTGCCTTCTGGCAGGACATGCCTTATAGCTGGCTCTAACATAGGACCAGAGGAGCTTGGGCTGTTTCCCCTTCTCTTCTGGGTCCTCCTGCTGACTTGGTCCCTCCAAAGCTAACTTCTAGAACCGTCCCCTGGGATCGGTCCCTAAGACCTGAGATCATCAGGGTGAGAGACCCAGCAATGAAGACAACCCCAGATTCCATACACCATGGAAGTCTCCAAACCGCCTCAACAGGCCTTTAGGGGAGGGTTTGAATAGCTTTCCCCAAGTGGACTGCATTCCTCTTGTAGGTTATTTCTGCCCTGGGGCTGGGGCTGGAGGGGAGGTCAGAAGGGTGGTCACAAGTCCCCATACTGTTCAGAATCTTCCACAATAATTGAAGTCTTAAGAGTAGGATCCAAATCAGACCATACAGCAGACAATGTAAGAGGGCAGGCTCAGAGGCCGGGCAGATGTCCACAGTGGGACTCCAGGAAAAACAGGTAGTGACAAGGAGGTCAGTTCCTGCCCAGCAATCAGATTTACTGCCTCCAGGCTCCTGGAGGGAGAGTAAAGAAAGTAAATCCAGGCAGCTCCGATGGCGTGGTCTTTCCTGACCTGGGCCCAGGCTCGCTTTGGGATTTCAGTCCCCTGGTACAGGGCCTTAACTGCCATTTCTTCTAAGAAGAAATGACCCAAAACCAAAGTCCCTTTGTACTCCATTCCGACTCAGAGCAACCTTAAAGGATAGAGCAGAACTGCTCCATGGGGTTCCCCAAGACTGTAAATCTTTACAGGAGTAGACAGCCTCATTTGTCTCCCTTGGAGTAACTGATGGGTTTGAACCACCAACCTTGTGGTTCGTAGCCCAGCGCTTAACCCACGACACCACCAGGGCTCCAGGAATGACCCAGCTCAGTCAGATATATGTGTGGGGGTTGGGGGTGGTAGACTGGTGGAGTTGGTTATGTGCCATGGAGTTGGTTCCGACTCATAGAGACCCTGTATAGGATTTCAGAAGCTGATTTCCAGAAGCATCTTTCTCCCTTGGAACAGCTGGTAGTTTCAAACTGCTGACCTTAGGTTAGCAGACTGATTCATAACCACTACACCACCAGGGCTCTGGGAGTGGCCCAGCTCAGTCAGATATATGAGTGGGGGCTGGGGGTGGTAGACTAGGTGGGAAAATCCTAATCAAAGGCTGGGAGAAGAAGATGGCAGAGTGTTTTCAAGGAGAGCTGGTGGGAGCTTGTGATGCAATTGGGAGGAATTGACTTTGTTGCCTGACAGGAGAAGAGGGTCTAGAGAGGGCCAGGGACTGAGGTCCCCAGGGAGCCACTGAGGATGGTGACCAGAGTAGAAATGTGATTCATGTGCTGTGAGGTGGATGGATTGGAAAAGGAGATGAGGCAGGGGAACTACACAACCTAACATATGAGCCTGGGTACATAACTCCATCCATCCTGAGGCCCAGGGACTCCCCCTGACACCCTACCAAACCCAGTCAGACTGGAGAACCAGAGAGCATGACTCAGCCTGGGTTGTGGCAGCTGGGGGCCCATCAGGCTACTAAACCATTAGGTTTGGGCCTTTCCCAGGCCCCATCCCAAGATCCATGGCTCTGAGTGCTGTGTGGATTTATAAGCCCCTGTAGCTGAAGATTCCTCAGGCCCAGCCAGCTTCCTGCATTTAGGATAATGCAAGCACTGATAGTGCCTTGAGGACTCCCAGAAGGCTCCACACCTCCTGGTTGCTTTAACCCCCCCTCAGCCCCTTTCCACCCCTGCTCCCAGGTCTGGTTCCAGAACCGCAGAGCCAAGTGGCGGAAGCGAGAGCGTTATGGGAAGATCCAGGAGGGGCGGAACCCCTTCACAGCTGCCTATGATATCTCTGTGCTGCCCCGCACCAACAGCCACCCCCAGGTGAGACCCCACTTTGCCCCAAGTCCAGGCCTCGTCTTGTCCTATGAGTTTGTTGTTGTTGAGTACCGTGGAGTCGGTTCTGACTTATAGTGACCCTGCACAGGGTTTCTGAGGCTGTAAATCTTTACGGGAGCAGAACGCCTCATCTTTCCTCCGCGAAACCACTGGGAGTTTCGAACTGCTGACCTTGAGGTTGGCAGCCCAACCTGTAACCACTACTCTACCAGAGCCATAGGGTAGCCAGTAAAAATTCCCAGAAGACCTGGAGCAGCATCAGAGTTGTGTGTGACCTTGGGTACTTCACATCACCTGTCCCATGAAAGAGCCCTGCAGAGCACATAGCAGCACATGGCAAGACGGGACCACTGAAAAGCTTGTGCTTTCTTGAGAAGCAGTGGGAGGGACCTCTTAAGATGTCACTGCCAGTGTGGGGGGACTTGTTGTTGTTGTCAAGTGCCATGGAGTCGGTTCCAACTCATAGCGACCCTTTACAGGATTTCTGAGGCTGTAAATCTTTACGGGAGCAGAAAGCCTCATCTTTCTCCCGCAGAACAGCTGGTAGTTTCGAACTGCTGACCTTGCGGTTCGCAGCCCGATTCATAACCACTATGCTACCAGAGCTCCTTAGAAGGGGACTAGGAGGGAACCAATAATAGGTCTGGGCCAAGCAGAGGCTTTTGGGCCCTAGGGGCACAGAGAGAGCCTCTGGGTCAAGGAGGCAGCCCTTGGAGCTACAGGTTCATGGGCTTTCTTTACCCCTTTCTTTTCAGCTGCAGAACTCCCTGTGGCCCAGCCCAGGGTCAGGGAGCCCTGGGGGCCCCTGCCTGGTGTCTCCAGAGGGCATCCCCTCCCCATGCATGTCTCCATACTCCCACTCCCATGGGAATGTGCCTGGCTTCATGGGGATGCCAGCCTCCCCTGGAACCCACCCTGGCATCTACTCCATCCACGGCTTTTCCCCCACCCTGGGGGCCCACAGCTTTGAGCCCTCCCCAGACGGCAACTACAAGTCTCCAGGCCTCGTCTCACTCAGGGTGAAGCCCAAGGAACCACCCAGCTTGCTGAACTGGACTACGTGATCGGCCACGTGACAGACTCTGCCGCTTACCCCCTTTTCTGTTCCCAGCTGCTCCTACCCCACTTCTGCCTTTAGGCTCCACATGGTTTCTAGAGGCCTAGGCAGAGGAGTAGCGACTCTCAGCTGCAAGGTTCTTCTCTTAGAATAAGGTGGGATTGCCCAGGACAAAGTGGGCTTTAAAACAGGCGCCCGGGCCTCTTCCTGCCCTCACCCAAATTGGCCTAGAGGGAAGACACTGCCCTGCTTCAGCTTCCTCCAGTCTCTATCCCTCCAGTTGAAATAGCTTAAGTGGATCCTCATTCAGGAAACCCAGGAGAACAGGAGGAAGGGGATACAGACTGAACTGGGAGGAGCTCCTTGTGACACTCAGAACATCTAAAGGAGAGTGATTTCATCACCTGGGGCTGACCTTGCCTCCCCTTCCTATCAACAAGGGGCTTAGACTCTGGAGGTTAGTGTAAAGGGGGGGCCCTGCCTCCCAATTCCAGCCACGCCTGACTCCTGCTCTGTGCTTCCTTCCCTAATGTGCTAGGGAGTCACCTTTCACTTCCACCTCTAAAACCACTACCGTCAAGTGGATTCTGACTCCGCAGCCCTATAGGATGGAGTCGAACTGCTCCGTGGGGTTTCATCTTTATAGGAACACACAGCCTCATCTTTTTCCCAGAGTGGATGGTGGGTTTGAACCACCAACCTTGTGGTTAGCAGCCCAAGACTGAACCCACTATATCACCAGTGTACCAGAAACCGCCAAATTATAGATTCTCAATTATTGGATCGAGCCAGAGCTATACCGTGGAAACCATGGGCAGTTATAGTCGTCTTGTTGGATATGAGTGAGAGTAAAACACGTTCCCAATCTCTGAGCCCGTGAGCCCAAGACCCTGACCCCCAATTTTGTAAAGATACTTTTGTATAAAATGTGCTGCCTAGCATAACAATAAAGGTGGCGGTATTTTTTATCCCAGGTGACTGGATCTGCAGGACTCAGCTCTTGATTCTTTCAAGCTGGTGTGTGCCCAGGATCCAGGCTGGACCAGGTTATGCCGTTAAGCATCCAGGAGGCTGGCAAAGGTGGGCTGGCGAAGGTGGCAGAGCCCTTAGGGTTGAAGCCTGCCATGCCTGGCCTCCTTACCTGCCCAGGCTCTGGAAGGCAGATAGAAGAGCTGAGCCCTCAGGCTGGACACATTTGACTGGAAAATGGGGGAGGATGGCAACAGGATGGAGATAATTGTAACTCCACTGGTGACCTTAGGGAAGGTGGAATGGAGGATCAAGGTGCCCACTGAGGGCTGGGACCCTGGAGCCGTGGGGTGGTGCAGCTCCCTTCTCCCAGAAGCACTAGGAGCATGTCTGAGCTGTGGGGCAGAGATGAAGCCAGGACTCTTTTTTTGTGGTTTCAGAGAATTGCCTGTTCTATCCTTCATCCCAGCTTTCTGCCTTATCTCCTCAGCCTACAAGGCAGGAAAAACGCGGGCCTGCCCTCCCATCCTCCCAGTAAACACAACCACATTGCTCAGAAGAGTTCCCCCTCAGCTAGTAGCAGCTACCCCTCACCACGCCTCGCCTCGTGTTGGCCCAGAGAAGTCCAAGCTCACAGGCACTTGGTGATGTGCTAGCCCCTAAGAGGGAGCAAGTCCTCATCAGCTGCTCAAGCATTCCGGCCTCTGGGACTTTATAGTTCATTCCCCAGAGAAAACCTTTTCTTCCCTTCCCTTTTCTCAGTCTGAGGGTCTGGCTTCCTGCCATTTCTCAGCACTGATGTTGGCAGTGAGGTCCAGGTGTGCCTGTGTTTAGTGGGAGGGGGCACCAATCAAGAGGGGGAAAGAGGCATCCTCAGCTGCCTATGCTGAATGGACACCCTTATGATAGAACCAAGGCTCAGACGACCACACTAGAAGTTTATTCAACCAATGAGCAGTTGGCAGAATTTTGGACTTTCTGTCCCACAAAAGTCAGAAAGATGTGTGTTCTACAAATATTTACTGAGTGCCTAATCTGTGCCAGGCATTGTGCTGAGAGCTGTGCTCAAGGAGAACCTGGTCCCTTCCCTCACAGTCTAGAAATATAGAGATGAGAAACAACTGCAAAAGCCTAAACAGAGCAAGCAGAAGTGGGGAAGAGACAGACAAGAAAAGAAAATTAAGTGGAGCCAGAGATCAACGCAGCAAGAGGCAGAGGTGACAAAGGACAGGAGAAGGCCCTGTGCAGGAGAGGGGCCCTGCTGGGGGAGGGTACGAGGAGGCCAGAGACCAGCTACTGGCTCTGGTCCAGGGGCATCTGCCCACAGCTCATATTTTTCTGTCCAGTGACAGCTAAATGAAGAGAAAGCTAACTTTACAACTGCCTACTTCACACGTAATGAATATGAATGGGCATCCCGGAGCCTGTTCCATGGGATTATCTGTGAGCTGACGGGTCCTCCCTCCGTCTGGGCCATCCCAGCCAGCCTGTCCCCTGGCTGGGGTGCGGACAGCCTTTCCACCTGCTTCCTATTAGCTGTGCTTCCCGCCTCCCCCACACTCTGGGCATCTACCCCTAAGACACAGCCCCTGGGGTCTCCAGACAACCCTGCCCCAGCCTCACTCAGACCTCAGCCCATAGTTTCCTGAGGGCAAGCCTGGTGCTCTGGCCACCTTTCCTGAATAGGCAAAAAGGAAGCAGCTTCTATCTGGACTCCCATCCCTGAGAGAATTGCTAGTCTCAGTCTCCCTTTGCTGAGGCTCCAGTGAGGCCCACCCAGAGAAGACTCCAGAGCATTAAATCTTGGTGCTGGCAGGGGACATGGACACCAGGCTGGGACAGAGGGCCTTGGCAAGGCTCCCCACTCAGGCAGGCAGTGAGATATGCTTCTCATTCAACCCTGCTGCCCCCACCCCACCCCCCAACCACTTTCACATCAACCTGAATTACAGCCCTAAAGTGCAGATTCTCTGGGACCTCAGCAGGAACTGGGCCTGAGCAGAACGCTGGCTTCCTACAGCAGCTCTCCCCTCCACCTCCTGCAAGAAGCTTCTCCACCTTTCCTACCTGGATGGCAGGGAGCACAAAGGAACCCACTCAGCAATGCGCTCAGCAGTAAAGGGGAGTGGAAAGGGGGTTGGCTCTTGCCTTTATGACTGTTGCGCCCGACTGTACCCTATATTCCTCTGGACTGACTCCATGGACACCACACAGGGCCTTCAGTCTGATGGCTGAGCTCTTTTGAGGGGTCTCTAGTCAAGCAGTAAGATACGCCATGGGGAAAATAAGGGGTGCTAAGACAGGGCTCTGATCTTATCTTGGTGGTAGTTGTGGGGGGTCTCTTCTAGGAACACAGAAAATGGATGCCAGTTCATAGCTGGCTAGGGGTGGCAGGGCCATTAATACAAGGGGGCTTCAAAAAGTTGGTGGAAAAATTTGGTTATCTTTTTAGGTTTTCCATGAACTTTTTGAAGTCCTCTTTGAACTGTAGGTCAGTTATCCAGTATCTCATTCAGCCCTCATAATCCTCTTGCTATCATTCAGTCGCGTTCTAGAGATGGGTCAAGTGAAGCTTCCATCTTGATGAGCCCGAGTCCCACAGCCTGAGCTGGACTCTTGTTTTCTAGCCAGCTGCCTGAGGCCGGTTGTGCCCAGTGACAGACAAATAGTAACCGCTACTGCTTCTGCAAGCAGCCCAGCTCATTAGAAGACAGACAGAAAGCCAGCCTCCCGGGAGATCAGGTTAACTGGTAAGGCAGAGAAGCTGCTCTGGGAGCCAGTAGAGGAGAAATGCAGGCTGAGGCTGAAAAAGAACACGAAGGCAGCCACAACTGCCCTCAAGTTACCTTCAGGGAGCATCAGAGGCTAACCAATTAGGGTCTAAAGCAACTGATGTTTGCCAAGAGTCTTCTGTTCTAGGGACCAGATTTGAACGAATAGTAGTAATCAAGGGGAGTAACTGGGCAAATAACTGGTGTCAGAGCTGGGGAGACAGTGACCAACAGGGCATGGGTGGAGCGGAAAGCACCACTCTCAAATAGAGACCTGGGTTTGAATCTGGGCTTCTATCATCATGACCGACACCTTGGGCAAGTTCTTTATCTTTTTAGACCAGTTTTCTCCCCTGCAAAATGGGGAAAATAATGGTACCTACTTCTCAGCGGTATTTTAAGGAAAAAGATATGACACGTAAGTGCTCAGACCAGTGACTGGTACATAATAAGTACTCAATATCTGCTACATGGAAAACGACTGATGATGAAGGACGTAGCATGTGGTGTGACACTCATAATCATTAAGTGGCAACTCTGATGAACTATGGTTAACAAGGGACAATCACATCCTTGAGGTCATCTGTCCCCCAGTGGAGGGAAGGAGCACAGGAACCTCCAGCTGCTTAGCAATAAGCAACATTTACAAAGGCTTTCACATACCTACCTGTCCATGGCCCAGATGTGAAGTACAACCACAGAGACTAAGAGACCATTTGTTTCAAAAAAGACTTCTGTACTAAGACCTGCTTCAAATAGCTAATCTGCCACCAGCGAGCCTCATAGCTGAGATCAGGCCAGCTCTCAGGCCTGGGCAAAGGATTTACCCGCTCACACTTCGGGACTCTAGCAGTATCAATATTCTGTCACAGATCAGAGGACTGAGGAAATAAAAGATGAGGAAGGTCACCTCAGGTCAGGCATGTCCAGATACCCAAGCTGCATAAAGGAGTACAACCCATCTTACCAAACTGAAATCCCAAGACCACCTCCTTCCTATCAGTCCTGGCAAGACACAGAAATCCATCACGCACGTGAATTCTGCTCAGTTCTCTTGTCCTGTGCAAGTTACTTTTGGGTCAAAGGGCCAACGGATGCTGAGGACTTCATGTCTCACAGGGTAGGGACCATAAGTACTGTCCTGCTGGCTTCTACCTTGGTTGCTCTTAACCATGCTGGAACATCAAGGCCTAACCTGGAAGCTCAGCTAGGGCTGGACTGAGGCTCAGCAGGACCCAGGCCAAGCCGGTACTGACTTCTCTGAGGCAGAATCCCAGGCAAAGGGAGGCATATTCAGCAATCTGAAGCTGAGTACAGACTCCCAGGAAGTCTCAAATGGCACCTACCACAAGTTTTCCTTGCTTCTCCATCCATCCTGGGGGGCTCCTAGGCCCCTCAACACTCTTTCCCACCATGGAGCTAACTCTTGATGTCTACTTTCCCAGGCTTTGGGCATGAATTTCCTCTCATTCCCAACCACCCTGTCTCTGGGAGGCTTAGAGCAAATGACCCAACCTTCTGATCTGCAGGAAAACTTGTCACTCCAGCAGCAAAAGAGCCCTTAAATGAGAAAGGTAGGCAGCTTTGGAGAGGTAACTGGGTGACCTACCAATGAGAGCAGGAAAACCAGCCCTGCACCAGCTATTTAGGCAATGCTGTTGTTATTTGCTGTTGAGGTGGTTCTGAAACACAATAAGGACTGTTTTCACTTCCTTTTAATGTAAATAGAATACATAACACATTTAAAAACCCCAACAGAACACAAGAGAGTACACACAAATTTATACAGGCAGTCCCTGGGTTATAGACAACATTTGTTCCTAAGTGTGTCTACCTGGAACAGGTGCATATGGCTCTAAGTTACCCTTATTCTACTAGAAGAAATAGGAGCCCTGGTGGTGCAGTGGTTAAGCTCTCAACTGCTAACAAAAAGGCTGGTGGTTCAAACCCACAAGCCTCTCCATGGGAGAAAGATGTGGCAATCTGCTTCCACAATGATTTAGAGAGCCTTGGAAACCCCAGGGGGCAGTTCTACCCTATTCTACAGGGTCACTAAGAGTTTGGTTTGGGACCTAGTGTAAGAAAAGGCTTGATGATATCAAAGCTGCACATGTGCAGCAAGTAAAGGTGATTCTGATGAAAAATTTGTTGCAAGTAGGAAGTGGGACTGGTTCTGCTACTTCAAAGTGAAGGTACATTTACTAATACTAAAGGGCATGTAGGAGTTGTCCCTATGTTGGAGGGTTGTAACCCAGAGACTGCATGTGTATACATATTTACAAGCCCTTAGCAAACAGAGGGGAAATGGCATGTCTGGCTAAGGGAAGCTTCTCTTCCTATTCGACTCGCCCAGAACCAAAGCACTGAGGCAGCAGTGGAGGCCTCTGCAATTGCTTTTGGATGCAACTTAGCAGGAGGCTGGAATGACATCAGAAAACACCCCCAGAGCAAAACCAAGGTGCTGTCTTTCTGGCCCTGGCCCTAACCTCTCCTCCTTGACAAGTGGCCATGACAAGCCTCTCTCTCTAGAGACCCCTAAAACTCAGATGTGACCCCTAAAACTCAAATGCAGAGAGAATTCAGCCCATGCTGCATTTCCCAGTCTTGAACTGACTGAGAAACGGGCTGCGACCAACCACGTCCCAGAGGCAGGGGAGTGAAGGAAGAGAGGATTCCAAGCAGAGATGATTGCTCCTGAGCAGGACTCCTCCATCAGCCCAATGCAGGCTCTGGAGGGCAGAGCGGGGCTGTGCTGCCACCTGGTGGGGACGGAGCACTGCAGCAAGTAACCAGGACCATGCCCTCGGGGAGCCTGACATAACCCCGTCTTCCCTTTGTAGTCCTACTCCCAAGAGCCTCACTGCAGCAGTTCTTCCCAGGAAATGGGCTTGGAGAAGACCTCCCTTTCTAGCCAGAGGTCATAGTTCATCTGGAAGTCCTCAGGGAGGTCCACCCGCTGGCCCAGGACACTCTGTAGGCAGTTGTCCACTGGCAGAAAGTCAGGGTTGTTGTGGGCCCGGTCATAGCGCCGAGCGTTGAAACGTTCAATGTTGGCACGGAGGGCACACTCCTCTGCCTGAAAATCCCAGGGCCGGGCATCGAGATCTGGGACAAAGCAGGAAGACATGGTTTAGGAGTCAGGACCTGGTGGCAGCTCCCTTTGGGTTCACTGTAAGCATTCAGGGACAGATAGGTCAGGACTTAAAATGCTGTCAGGAGAGACCAGGACTCCTCCAAGCCCTGTCCTCTGCTGGGAAGTTATAGGAAAGGGTTCAAAGAAGACTGAGGCAAGGCAGTTTCCCAGAGAGAAGAGAGCAAGAGTCAGAAGAAAAGCCGGGTCTGACCTGGTATGGTGCTATGGGATCACTAGACTAGTAACCTCAAGGTTACAGTTCAAAGCCACCAGCTGCTCTTGGAAACCCTATACAGGGTTGTTAGGAGTCGGAATCAACACAACAACCACCTAGACAGGCTTCTCCAGCAGCTTATGCAGACAGTGACTCCAACAGGGAGCACCACTAGTACAACTTGCTTCTTAAGAGGCTCCCTTCTCCCTGTCTCTCTGGAGAGCCCTTTGCCACCCGCTCTCATTCCAATAGGAGCTGTGTGCTACCTGTCTGCGGGATACAGAAGTGACTCTGGCACTGCGCTGGCATGTCCAGACTCACACTGGACTAGTAAACACCATGGGCCATGGTCCCCTAGGCCAGGAGCTACAGTGGAGCACCATACTCAAGGATTCCAGGCAGAAGAACCAACTCTCCCAGAGCAGGAAGGAGCACACAGCAAACACAGGACAGCTGGGCGGAGGGGCAGGGGCTCTGCCCCTGAGGGGAGAGTAGAGGCAGAGGCCCAGAGTGGAAAACAACATGGGGAGCATTCGGGGACCAAGTGCTCCTGTGTGCCCAGAGACCTGCGCGCCACACAGGCTGGACTGAGGATTACAGAGGGGAGATGGGTGGGTCCCATGTGCCTCACTTACAGAGTTTGATATTCATTCTAAGGATCATAAAACCAAACCTAACCTGCTGCCATCTAGTCAATTCTGATTCACAGTGACCCTACAGGGCAGAGGAGAACTGCTCCACAGGGTTTCCAAGCCTGTAATCTTTACAAAGCAGACTGCCACATCTTCCTCCCGCACAGCAGCCAATGGATCCAACCAATGCTTAACCCACTGCACTCCCAGATTTCCTTACTTCTAAAAGATGGAGGTAACACCACAGAGTTTGCAGTTTGAAATATAACAGGGAAAGGAGGCACTGACAGAGGGGAAGAAATTGGGAGGGAGGGAAGCCAACTGGGAGTTGCAAGTTGAGGTGACCAGAACTAAGGCAGTTGCAGTGGGGAAAGAAGAGGGGACAGAGTCTTGTGACAATTCCTAAAGCATGACTGGCTGGGAGGGGAGGGGGCAGAGGAGCCGAGGCTGATAACTAATCCAAATCCTTCCCAGAACTCTCACCCTGAAGCTACAAAAGCTGGGCTCTCTCTCTCTCTCACCTAAGGTCCCTCTTTCCCACACAGCTCCGACCCTGCTCCACAGCATAGCCTCACCATTGCCATAGGCCCAGTCGTCGTTCAGCCGGTGCCGCACCTTCTGGTAGATGGCTGACATCGTCTTCATGTTGCTCTTCCGCCACTGCCGTCCCAGGTATTTGGTCTGTACCTTAAGCAGTTTCAGCACGTAGAGTTGCATCATGGCTTGCTTCACCTTCAGGGCCCGCTTCAGAATGGGGGCTGACTTGAATACCACCAGCATCTGTGGAGGGCACAAGGGAGCAGCCACGGCGAGGCAGAAGCAAGTCACACTGCTGCTCAGTCCTCTTTCAGGTTATGGGCAGGGCAACTGACTGCCCCAGTATTCCTGAGGGGTTTTCTGGGACATGGGACATTCTCGCTAACACCAGAAGAGTCCTAGGCAAACTGGGACCACTGGGTGCCCTTCAGGGTCTCCCTCCCCCCCCCCACCACGTTTTTAAACTTTTAATTTGCATATTAAATAACTGTGCATTCCAATAATTAAAATCATTTGAGAAAAAAAATTGCATGGCATTTTATGCCTGCAGGACACCTTGGACCAGCTTTTACTCTATCTTATTCACTGTCGTCCCACCCAGCTTCTTCCTTCAACATGCAAGTTCTTTCCTTCCTTTCCAGCCAGCCAGGTCGACAGGAGGAGCAGGCTCAGCCATCAGTCAGTAGTACTTAATTCTTTGATGTGAAAAGGGGCAGCAGTCATTTAAACCTGATCCAACCTATCTGTATCTTACACAGTTAAACAGCTATAAAAAGGAAAATAAGAAGGCAGAGCTTGTGGAATGCACTGTGCCATCTCATAACGATTTGCCTGCTTGCTTCTCCTGTTCGATCATTTCCTTTAAAGGCAGCAGATTTTTCTCTTGCATTTCTGTCTTCTTCAATTTCGACTTCTCGAATTTCTCAGTCTTGGCCATGTCGGGTTTGTAAGACATGGTAGCAGTGGACTCGGGTGAGACGAGAGCGAGCTTGTGTCACTGACTGCAGTGGCCACCGCCATGTCTGCAAGGTCCTTAAGATCTGAAGAAAACTACTGAGTTCTTCCCCAGATACATTCCAGTGTGCACAAGTGTAATGTCAGAGGATTCATGGCCCTCTCTACCCCAAAGGCATGCATAAGCCCAGGGTCAGAGAGATTCCCAGAAGCCTGGTTTTGTTACCAACTAGGAATTAATGTGGATCTGTTTCAGTGCCTCACCCAGCCTGCAGTTCAACTTACTGAGGAACCAGTTGTTAGAAAGAAGGATGCAGTATAGCATGCTTAAATGAGAAAGCTGTAGGTGCAACAGCAAGTCCCACCCAGAGGACCCCCTGCTCACAGCATGAAGGGGTGAAGGGAAGGTACAGGGGTGTACCTGTAGCTCTCTTATCTGAGCCCCAAGTTTCATGCCTGTTGACTGTGCGTACTCACCATTGTCCTTGAATGCTTCCATTTGGTCAGTTTGTTCAAAATTCGAAGCAGATTGATACAAGAAAAGAGGTTCCTCCAACAAAACTCGTTAGTGTCGCCTGCTTCCTGTAGGATAAACCCAGGAACAACCACACCCTCACAACTGGACTGCAATTCCCTAAAGGCCCTCACAGGTGGGGTCCCAGAACAGCAGGGTCCCTATGCCTCAACCAAGAGAGGCCAAAGGGGAAGGGAAGCTCCCAACCCCTCCCTATACCTAGGGGGACTCTAACTCAGAAGTTGGCACTAGGGGAGAGGATTCCCTAGTATTTTCCTATAGGAAACTTACACTATAACTTGTGGGACTCTCTTCAGACCTCCACATCCTGGGGAGCCCAGCCTGCCTCAGCTATGGCCCCACAGGAATCCACCATGAGATGTGAAGCAACCCAACTGGGTGGCCTGTCAGCAGCTGCCCTGTCCAGCTAGCCCATGTCCAAATCTTCCCTCCCGCTTGTCAGGGCCCGCCCTGGCCCCTTCTACGCAACTGCAGTCTTACATTCAGGCACTCCACCATGCTCCTCTACCCCTTGTGTTGGGACAACCCTTCTGATAAAGGGACACTCACCAGACTCTCGGCAGTCAGCTCTGGAAGCTCATGCACCACGCAGTGAGGATAGTCCAAGACAGAAATGCTGCAAGGGGCAAGAGCAAGGCACCATTCTCAGCACAGTCCTGGGTCTGGCAGAACAGCAGGACTGGCTAGGTGCCTGGATCCCCTCCTTCACTGTGGGAGCACCAGTAGCAATCTACCCTGTCTGCACTCCCCTCCTGCCCCCAGCATGAGAAGAGAAAATATTGGCTACTCTAAGAACCTGTCAGGTCCTTCTGTGGCCAGAGGCCAGTTTGTTATCCTTCTAAGGGGAGGCGGAGGTGGCTCTGTGGCAGTTTTCCCCATAGCCATGGATCTGAGGTTGGAATCTAGAGAGTTCTAACTCAAATCTTCATCCCAGGCAGTGAAGCTGGTTGACAGACCACCAGGTGGTGCATCACACTGGGGAACAGGGCAGGAGGGGGGGGGTGGGGGCTCTTGAGAGAGCAGGCCCAATGGGTCTCAGAAAAAGAAACATGCACAAGGAGCAGCGAGGGCAGTAACTGGAGCCCAGGAGCAGAGCCACCTGCCCAGACACAGACAGGGTCACCTGTCACTAGCCTAGCTAGCCTAAGGCAGGAACCCAGTCCCACTCAGCTCTGTGTCCAGATGTCTGGCAGAGTACTGGCTTGTAGGTGCTGGACAGATTCAGCAAGTAGGCAAGCAGGAGTCCTGTCATTTGGTTGTACCCAGGCCTTCCTGGTCCTTGATTACCTGTTCTTGGCAGTGATGTAGGACATGATATTTTGATTGAAGAACTTAAGGATCAAAGGGATGCAGTTGGCAAACACCAGGTGCTGGGCCATGTATTCAAACTGGAACCAAGAGAAAAGGTAAGTGAACTCCTTGGGATTTCACTTGTTTTCCTCCAGCGATAAAAGGCCCTGGTTGGAAGACCGTGTCCTCGCACATTACTGTAGACTCAGGGAGGTTTAAAGGCCAAGGCCCTGATTCCTCTTTGCTGGAGGAACAGCCCTGTGTCTGGCCACTGGCCCTGGCCTAGTAGACTGGAAGGCAGGCCCTGGAGGTACCTGGTAGATGTGGTTCAACTTGAAGTGCTTGAGTAGCAGCAGCAGGAGAGCAGAAATAGCCTTAACAATGACCTCTTTGTGGCGGTTCACGTCCACTCCCAGTTTCATGCTCTGCAACACTGTAGTGCTAGACACACAATTTCCGGGGTGAGACGTCAGCACGTTTGGCACCTTGTTCCTAAGCACTCCCAACCTCCCATGACACCTCTGGTCCAAGGCTCCTGCCTCATTACCCACACTGTGGACATCTTAGAGGTCAGGACCCGGGCTCCCCTTGCCTAAAGCTACTTAGCTTAGTATGATTTATTTTTTGCCCCCTAATGCCCAAACATATTCTCTGCTTTTGCTCTAAAAATGAACTTCTCCTTTTCAAAATCTCCTATCAGCTTCTGCCACCATATGAACTTATGTTCCTCGGAGTGTGTTCTGTGGAATCTCAGTACATTGAGACAGATCATCTTACGGGGGGCAGGGACACAGAAAGAGGAGCACTGAGTTTACAAGTATCCTAATTCAGGACTTCCCACTGCACGTCTGAAGTGTAATATCTGGCTCTGGGATCCTTTTTCCCAGGAGCACCCTGATGGCCTAGTGCTGGGTGAAGCTCCCTTTGGCATTAGCTAGGCTCTTCTCAGTGCCCAGTCCTAGGGCAGCGCAGAGCCCTGCTCGCTGGCAGAGAGTCTGGCTCTGAGCTGGGCTGGTGTTGGCAGGCAGGCAGGAGACCAGGTTAAGACCTGGATCCTTCTCAAAGGAGAAGTATGATTTCAGTTCATACTCATATCAAAGAGATGAGCTCAGTGCCCCAGGGATGAAAAGCCCCTAAGGACTTCACTCAATCACCCTGAGACACTCACAAGTGTCTGCCTGCCAGGAACACTGACAAACACGAACTAATCCACACTCAGCTCAGGTTCACTGGTCGGCTGGCACCTTACCTAGAAGTGCTGTCTACAAGTCCTGGATGTCCCCACCTCAAAGTTTCAGAGGGTGGGTTGTGGAAAACCCTCATTCAATTTATGGGAAAAGGAAATACCTTTCCCTAGTTTGCTCAGTTCACTCAGTGGCAGAGACTACACCAGAATCCAGGCCAATCTCCAAACAGTACAATTTCCCAATCCAGTATGTGTTCTCTTTTCAAGTCAGGAATACTCTAAACTTACGGAAAAATTAGGCCAAAAAATAAAGAAACCAACCTAGCATATAAAAGAAAAACACTCCCCTGCTGCCCCTGACCTGCTCCATTCACAGGAATGACACTCACGGCATCTCCTCAGGCAGGACATCTGCTAGGATGTTGATTGAGTCTGTTTTGGCCTTGGAGGTGGGAGCTGCCGCCAGCAGGATCTTCAGCAGGGCGATCTGGGGAAAAGCAGACCACTCAGACAGTGAGGAGCCCAGAGCCAGAACTAAGCATTTTAGGTCCTCAGGTGGCAAAAGAAGGGTCAAAGGAAAGCAGGGCTAAGGGGGTGGGAAGGGTGATCGTACTGCAGGTACTGACTGATGGCCACTGAAGGTCCCAGACACAGAGCACCCTAGGGGGAAGCAACATCTCACCATATACTGAGGCAGGCTGGGGAGCAAGCCTTGGTAGAGGGTTTCTGCAGGAACTTGATCGACTTCCTCTTCTCCCTTTTTAACACAACAGGTACAAATGCAAAACCCCAGTCCTGACTACAACCTCCTAGGCCAGCTTCCTTGAAGGTGGAAGGAGATTCTGTAAGTACCAAATAAACACTACTGCTGAAGATAAAGGCAGCATACACTGAGCACACAGTGTGCTAGGCTCTGTTAGAAGCAGTTGACTTATAACAACTTACTCTTTACAACAACACTGTGAAGAAAGTACCCTCATTTTCCCATTTTACAGATGAGGAAACTAAAGCACAAAGAGATTCAGGAACTTGCCTCTGCCATTGGCCCACTAAATGGTAAAGTCAGAACTCAAAGCCAGGTGACCAGCTTAGAGTCTGTATGCTTAACCTCTGAACTATACGTAATACATGTACTGTTATCACCTGCTGTGAAAGCTCGACTGGGAGCTTCTAGAAGGCAGGGCCTGGGGCAACACAGTGCCTGGGAACAGCTGGGTATCCGCAGATCAGAGACCAGCTCTACTCACCCCTGAGAGAGGAGAGCGAAGGTACTCCTCCTCCATCTGTGCTTGGACCTCTGCAATCGACGTGTACTTGTGCTGGGGAAAGAGCAAGGAAAGCAGGCATTGTGGAGGACACCCTTCTTCTCTGGCCAGACTCAGGTACACTGGCAAAGACCTTACACATTGTTCTCCAAGCACAGTCTTCTGCAAGAGGGCTAAGTCACCACAAAGACCCCTAACTAAAATCCTAAACACCAAAGACCACAGTCTTCAGGATGGGTTGTATCTCAAAGTAAACAAAAAAATCCCCACAAATGACCAATAAGTAACACCCATATAAATGGAGAAAAGACTGAAGTTGTCAAATACTTCACTTTGCTTGGATCCACCAACACTCATGGACAAACAACAGTCAAGAAATCAAACAACGTTACCACTTTAGGCAAATTTGTTGCACAAGAGCAAAGATGTCAATTTGAGAACTAAAATGCGCCTAATCCAAACCATGGTATTTTCAATAACCTCATATGCAGATAAAATTGGACAATGAATAAGGAACACTGTAGAAGACTTGATTGATGCCTTTGAGTTATGGTGTGGGAGAGTATCAAAGGTATCATGGGCTGCCAGAACAACAAACGAATCTGTGCTGGAAGAAGTACAACCAGAATAAGAAGCCAAGATGGCCAGACTTCTTCTCTCATACTTTGGACATACGATCCGAAGGGACCAGTCATGCTTGGCGGGATGGAGAAAAAGAGGAAGCA